TTGCGGACAACAAGAAGGCCGATCTCGAGGCATGAGTGGATGGTCTTTTCAGATGATACCAACCTCCATCGGTCACTTGGGATGGGCCGAGGAGACAGAAGATTTTGTCCTTTTTGTTCTGTTTTTGAATCAAGCGGGAAACATGGTCTCTGCATAAGAGCATTTAGATGGGGTTTATCTATTTTACTATTTACTTTCCATGTTTGGAAAAGTTTTAGTTCCGTCGATCGCAGCAGCAACGCCGTCGACGGGTGCAAGATGATGAGGTGCGCGGATGGGAGGTAAACGTAGCAGGTGGAGAAACGATTTCATGTGTAAACTGTCTTCTGGTTGATAATTTGCCGAATGGATTGATAGTCAAATAGGCAAAAGCCGAACATGCTACCTACAACGTCATCTTCCTGTGTACCGTCATATTCTGAGAGAAGTATGTGCCGTTAGGACGAGATCAACGGATTTCAGAATCATCTCGGCGTCGACGTAGCCAAAAGGCGCACGCTCAGTCGTGGCATTGCAGTAGGATCTCTGTCACAACATCACATCGGAGATACTCGCCACAAGCCTGAACATCGAGTGCCAGCATCACATGTTCGATACGCACCGCCCGATCTTTCTCGCCAAAAGTAGTAGGCCGCGGATTTGCGCTAGAGACGGCCGCACTAGGGTTGGGGTTTCAAGTAAGCTTTGAGGCTGGCTGGAGGCTGGTGCGTCTCGGCCACTTTCTGAACACGAGAGACGCCAAACGCATGCAGTTCACAGGCATTATGGGGATTTCGAGGCGTTTTCCGGTCGGGGGGTTCAAGGTGCATAGGGGGTGCGAGATGGCCCTTCAACGCGGAATGCGCCTTGCCCTTGCCAAGGCTGGTGGTGTTCGAGCATGGTACAGCATTTGAGCAGAGGCTGAGCAGAGGTGGGAGTGTCGGGATGGCTGGTTGAGTCTATATGGTCGTTCTTGGGAATTTGGCGGGGATGATTTCGAACATGACGGTGCAATTCTGTAGACCACCTAGATGAAAAGAGCTTGGGGGTTAAAAAAACACCCTTTTGCAGAGGCTGGGCGTTGAAGGCATGTCGGTGGTCGGCCGGTGGTTGTTCGTGAGACTGCTGGAAGGGGTTGTACTTTGGGACGGGTCATGTCGTCGCGTCGTGTGGGTGGACGCTTGATTGACGTGCTCGCTGCGAAGTTGCTGTTGTCAGGGGCGTGCCAGATGGCTCATGATGCCGAACCGGCCAAGTTGCTGTCCTCATGCCCACGTTGCGCATGGCAGGTATAAGACGGTCCGTCGGGTCGGATGAATGGTCGTGTGATAAGACTGGCGGCAGCCGGCGACCGGCTCAGACGAGACGGATCTGCAGCCCAGACGGGATACTTGGGCCCTTGATATAAGCCCGGCAGACTCGGTTCAGGCGCACGCAGGGGTAAACATGGGCGTTTCGGGCCAGTGATCCCCGGATGAGTGGTAGATCTCAAGGATGGGAACTGCCGGCTGAGCGCCCCCGGCGATGCTATGGCGATGCAACATGGCCATGACAGGAAAATCTGGGGATGGTGTTGAAGGATGAGCAGCCTGGTCCAGTAATGTAGCCCCACCGTGATCAGAGACGGGGCACCCGGAGCCGGTAGAAGAGAGCGGGTGGGGATGCTTTGTTGGAGAAGGCTTGTCATTATTGGGCAGAATGATTGAAGTAGGTGCGATGGGCCAGGCGCGGGGCTGCGGGGGCGTCGCGGGGCACCAGGACAGGAAGCACTGTGCTTCCAGGGCATTGCCAGAGAGGGAATCAGCGTCTAACAGCGTCAAACACGGTGTTTCCTGGGCGCCATACTCGCCGCCGCACGGCCTGTGTTTCCCGCAAGAGCGCCCCAAAGAGCAAAGAGCTATGGGGGGGCCCCCACCTGCCCACTTGGAGGGACGTCACTGCCCTTTTTTTTTTGTTGCTCCTGACACGCTCGACACGGTCCAAACTGGCGCCAGCCAAGGGGAAAGAAAGAGTGCCCCGCGAACCAGGATCTGGCTGGAACTGGGATTGCGACTGGGAAACATGGGGGGAGCTCTCCCAAGCTGTCTCTTGCCCCTCCCTCTCCATGCCCCTCCCCTCCAAGGATCGCTTTCCAAGTTGTCACGCCTGTTTCCAAGATCCTCCTCTCCACTGCCATCTCCATACAATGAATGGGGGTGTGACTGCAGAGCCCACGATCCAACGAGAGAGCAGCAAACACCGGCATGGCGCCGACACGAGATGCGAGACGGGCAAGCCGCCCCATCCAGGAGGAGACGTGACGTGACGAACCTCCCGCCCACCGACACAGCGTCAAGAAATCCATGCGCTTTTGCTCCATCCTAGCCCGGCTGTGCTAGCTAGTCATGGACTGGTTGGTGTCGGTGTGGTCTGGTTTCGATGTCCGGGACGGAAAACGCCAGGTCCTACCAACCTTAGTCAAAGCCGAGGGACCATGGCGATGAGAGACCGATAAATACCCCGATCCGTCAACCTCTCGCCCGCTCCCCTCCAGCTTGCTCTTCCTCCTCCTCCTCTCCTTTCCTCCCTCAAACGAAACCTGACTGGCATCTTCCTCATCCTGCAGTGCCGTCACAATGTCTCCCAAGTCCATCCCCCCCCAGGAGATCGAAGGCACCCCAGACTGGCAACACCAGGCCGTCTTCCGACGAAACACTCTCCCTGCACGCTCCTACCACATTCCCGAGACCTCCCTCCTCCTCAACGGGCAGTGGGAGTTCTCCTACACCTCGTGCCCTGAGGAGTCCCCTCAGCCCGGCGACGAGGATGTGCCCGAAGACAACTGGGGCACCATTGAGGTCCCCGGCCACTGGCAGCTCCAGGGCCACGGTCGCCCTCACTACACCAACACCGTCTTCCCCATTCCCGTCTGCCCGCCTTTCGCCCCGACAGACAACCCCACCGGTGTCTACCGCCGTACCTTCAACGTTCCCTCGACCTGGGACGCCAGCTCGCAGCTGCGCCTGAGGTTCGACGGCGTCGACAGCGCCTACCACATCTACGTCAACGGCGCGCTTGTTGGCTACGCCGAGGGGTCAAGAAACGCGTCCGAGTTTGACGTCACCGAATTCGTCAAGCACGATGCGCCCAATGACCTCTTTGTCAAGGTCTACCAGTGGTCTAGCGCCACCTACATCGAGGACCAGGACCAGTGGTGGCTCTCTGGCATCTTCCGCGATGTCCACCTCCTGGCCTTCCCCAAGACGGACAGGATCGACGACTGGTTCCTGCGCACCGATCTGGATGCCAAGTACGAGAACGCCACGCTCCAGGCCACCGTCGATGTCACGGCCTCCACGTCGGACACCCTCAAGATCACCCTCAAGGAGCTCGCCAAGAACGGCGGCGCCGTCATCACCACCCAGGATGCTCCCGTCAAGAGCGGCGACACCAAGATTGACCTCGACTTGGCCGTCTCGAACCCCAAGAAGTGGACTGCCGAGACGCCCTACCTCTACCAGGTGGAGATCACCCTCGGTGCGCACACCATCCAGCAGAACATTGGCTTCCGCAAGGTCGAGCTCAAGGGTGGCTTGATTCGCGTCAACGGCGTGCCCATCCGCATCTATGGTGTCAACCGTCACGAGCACCACCCCAAGTTCGGTCGTGCTGTTCCACTCGACTTCATCAAGAGGGACCTGCTGCTCATGAAGACGCACAACATCAACTCTCTGCGATGCTCGCACTACCCGCCGCACCCCAAGCTCTTCGACATGTGTGACGAGCTCGGTCTCTGGGTTATGGACGAGGCCGATCTCGAGACGCACGGCTTCTACGACTGCATTGCCCGGCCTCTGGACATTCCCGAGGAGTGGGACTACGAGGAGCGCAAGAAACAGACTTTCCCGCCGGCGGGCAAGTACACTAGCCAGAACCCCGATTGGAAGGAGGCCTATGTCGACCGCATGGTCCAGCTCGTTCAGCGCGACAAGAACCACTCCTCCATCATTATGTGGTCTCTCGGCAATGAGGCCTTCTACGGTGACAACCACAAGGCCATGTACGAGTACGGCAAGGCCTTTGACCCCACGCGCCCCATCCACTACGAGGGAGACGTCGACGCAGTGACGGCCGACATGTTCTCGTACATGTACCCTCCCATTGACAGGCTGCTGCACCTCATGAAGACGGCGGGTGTCAAGGAGGACGGCAGCTGGGACAAGCCCATTGTTCTTTGCGAGTATGCTCACGCTATGGGCAACGGCCCCGGTGCCCTCGATGACTACGTCGAGACCTTTGAAGCCAACGAGCGCCTTCAGGGAGGTTACATCTGGGAGTGGGCCAACCACGGCATCTGGAAGGAGGACTCCGATGGCAAGAAGTACTACGCTTACGGTGGTGACTTTGATGACTTCCCCAACGACGGTACCTTTGTCATGGATGGCCTGCTGCACAGCACCCACGAGCCGACCCTTGGCCTTGTCCAGCTCAAGAAGTCCTACCAGCCCCTGCTTCTATCAGTCGAAGGAGGCAAGCTCGTCATCAAGAACAAGTACGACTTTGTTGGTGTTCAACACCTGTCGGCGACCTACAAGGTTGAAGAGCTTGGTGAGAGGTAAGTGATCTGAATACCAGGCTCCCAACTCCTCCATCATGCAAGCGCTAATTTACTGTTCCTCCCAGCACCTCGCACATTGCTGCCGGTAGCCTCGAGATCCCTGCCATCGCAGCCGGCGAAACCTTATCGGTCGACCTTCCAGCCTCGTTGTCGAATATCAAGTCCACCAAGGATGTCTTCCTCACCGTCTCCTTCCGCCTGAAAGAGTCTACAAACTGGGCTGAGCCCTCGCATGAGATTGCCTGGATCCAGCACCAGCTCTCCTCGGCCGAGGCTCCCACGTCCGCCGCGGCCCTCAACACTCTCACCTCCAAGCTCACGGTGGAGAAGACGCGTGCGCGGGCTACCATCTCCGGCCTCGACTTCTCCTTCGTCTTTGACACCGCTCGCGGTCTGCTTGTGTCTTGGACGGCTGGCGACAAGACGCTCCTGGAAAAGGACCCGGCCACGGGTGCCGCACTGATCCCCAACTTTTGGCGTCCCCCAACGGACAACGATGTACCCGTCGCCTGCGTGTACTGGAAGCGCTTCGGCGTGCACGAGCTCACCAGTCAGCTGCGCTCTCTCGAGATTGTTGAGTCGGCTGACAAGGTTGAGATCTCCACCAAGACGTTCCTGTCCCCCCCTGTGCTCGCCTGGGGCTTTGAGACGACGTCCAAGTACACAATCAGTGCCACTGGTAAGCTGACAGTCGATGTTGACCTGACGCCTACTGGCCGCATGCCGACGACCATTCCTCGCGCCGGGTTTCAACCTCCACCTTCCCAAGGCGCTCAGCCAGGTCAAGTACCTCGGTCTCGGCCCCGACGAGTCGTACCCCGATAAGCAGACGAGCCAGCGCGTCGGCGTGTACAGCGCCACGGTGCCTGAGCTGCAGACACACTACGAGGTGCCGCAGGAGAACGGCAACCGCATGGCGACGCGATACGTAACGCTGACAGAGGGTGGCCACGGCCGCGGCTTCCGCGCGACGCCCTCGGACGCTTCGGCGTGGACCGACGAGTCTTGGCGCGACTTCAGCTTCCGTGCCAGTCACTACTCGGCCGACACTCTTCACTTTGCCAAGCACCCGTGCGACCTCGTCGAGGCAGATGCGACGCTGCTGCGTCTTGATGCTCGCGTGGCTGGTGTCGGCAGTGCCGCGTGCGGTCCTGGTCCGCGTGAGGACCTTCTCGTCAAGACAGAGCCCCTCAAGTTTGGCTTCGTGCTCGAGCGTGTAGGATTTTAGATGCCATATGAGGAAGGGGAAAATCGGGGTGGAAATGGTTCCGAATTAGACGGAATAAGTTATGAACGTGATGACACTTCAATACAGTATGAATATGTTCAATTATAGCACTGTGCGACCTCGGTGAACTAACCGTTGTAAGAAGGATTGGCAGCACGTCGACCTTTGCACATCGACATCTGAGCATCTTTCAAGGCAGTCTCGACGACCTTCGACAACCAATTATGGACTCTCCAGCAGCAGCGAATGTTTTGGGGACCCTTGGTGCTGTATGTGAATCCTATTTGTACCAGCAAAAACTTGGGCACAGAGCAAAAGACGGAGCGCTCATCATCCTTGGCAGGTCTGCTGGTCCATCCAGCTCATCCCCCAGATCGTCATCAATTACCGCCGCCACCACGCCATCGGCCTCCAGCCCTCCATGATGATGCTGTGGGCCTGGGCCGGCGTCCCCCTGGGCGTGTATAACATTGTCCAGGACTTCAATGTTGCCCTGCGCATCCAACCACAGATCCTGACGCTGCTCAGCCTGGTGACCTGGATCCAGTGCTACTATTACGAGAGGGTAAATCACCACTATCTAAGCTGCAACCGTCTCTGGATTTCATAGTCACTCACCTGGATTTGAAGAAATGGACCGTTGCCCGCGCCCTCGCTGTCGTCGTCCCCGTTGCGGCCCTGATGGGTGGCATCCAGGCGGCCCTCATCGTCGCTCTGCGCATCGCCCGCCATGCCGAGGCCGAGTGGCCCCTCACGCTCATGGCCGTGCTCTCGGCCGTGCTCCTCGCCGCGGGCGTGCTGACGCACTACTGGGACATCTGGACGCACCGCACCGTGCGCGGCATATCGTTCCTCTTTGTCGGCATTGACGCGCTCGGCGACGTCTTCTCGCTCGCGTCCGTCGTCTTCCAGCCGCGCCTGGATGTACTCGGCATGGTCATCTACGCGACGGAGCTGGTCCTCTGGATCGGCGTCTTTGCTGCCGGGGGCTGGTATAACCTGCGGCCGTGGATGCGGGGCAAGCTGAGCAAGGGCGGAGAAGGGGAGGACGAGTCGCCTGCTGCTGACGGGCCGGGTGTGCAGATGGACGGTATCACGGCGCATGGAAACCACTCGTCGAGTTCGGTCTTTCGGACGGCCTCGAGGGAGGAGGCCAGCGGGGTACATCACAGGATGGTCACTTCACTCAGGGGGAGCGTAGAAGGATGAGGATGAAGGGCCCCCCCCGTCGCGGACGGGGAGGCAGATTCGCTGGCCCATGAACCCGGAAAAGGACGCAATGACTATAACCAACACCGATACATTCCTAACCTTGATATATCCCCCGAAAGATGCCACAAAAAAAGACGAAAGAACAAGAGAGGAATAGACCCGGCGCCCCGCTATGCCATGATCGCTGCCGCACCGAAAGCCACGATCGCCGCCGCCACGCTGAAGGCCTGTGCCGAAGCGCCGTTTCCCTGGGTCGGCAGGCCGCTGGGGTTGGTGACCTGACCGGGCTGCGTCGTGTTGGTCACGGGCGTGCTGCCAATGGCGCCGTTGTTGTTATTGTTATTGTTGTTTCCATTGCCGTTGCCGTTACCGACACCGACGCCGGCACCAGCACCGCCGGCGTTGACGCAGTTCTGCGACGAAAAGCCCTGGGCGCTCTCCTGCAGGGCGCGCGTGAAGCCAGCAGCCATCTGGGCGGCAATCTGCTGCGCGGCCTGGGGCACCTTGCTGACAATGGCATCGATGAGGCTGCCGGCGCCGGTGGTGAACTCGCCGACCTGGGCGCGGACGACGTCGCAGAGGTTGGCCTGCTGGAAGGCGGGCTTCTTGTTCTGGAGGTTCCGCACGAGGCTCTGACCGTTGGTCTGCAGGCTGCCGACGAGCTGCTGGAGCTGGACGGCCTCCTGGAGCGTGAGCTCTGTGCTGCCCTGGATTGACGTCGCGCCCTGCCGGAACGTGTTGATGAGCTGCTGCGACGCCTGCTGCAGCTGCGTCGGGTCCGTCGTGAAGGCTTGCACGGCCTGGTCCAGCGAGGCGATGCCCGTGCCCACCTGATTGATGACGCCCGTCACAATGGCGAGCTCGCGCACGACAAGGGCCGGAGCGTCACGTTCTACCGGCGTCGGCTTCTCCGCGACGGCGGAGCCGAAGGCGGCCATGGCCAGGAGGGTGAGATGGGTGGTGATCTTCATGGTGTATGCGCGTGTGTATGTGTATCGTGCTTCGTTCCGGTGGTGAAGGAGGTATGGCAAAGATGTATGGATAGAGGAAGAGTGTGGTCTGTGATGTGTGGCAAGGTGAGGACAAACAAAACAAAAATGCAAATAGGGGATGCCGATGCTTATAGATTTGTTTAGTTGCCAGCGTCTCAGGGCCAGCAAGGTTCGAGAAGCGGGCTCTGCCCTCTGCACAGACCGGGGATGAGCTTGCGGCCTTGGGTCTTGACCATGCTATCCAGTCCTGGGTTTCATGTGGGCTGATTCGACTGCTGAGGACCGTGGACGGCGTATCACGACCGCGTTTCTCCTCGTCGAGACTTGGGCCGACGGACGACAAAGCAGCCCCTCATGCCTCACGGGGTGACAGAGTGGACGACAATTTCGGATGGAAATTCCATCTCTGGGTTCGGAAAAGGCGCAATATCTGCAAATGGCTGTTATGGACAGACAGTAGGTAGGTAATTGTATCAGAGACCGAGAGTCGTGATGAAGCTTTCCGCTGGTGTAAACCTTAAGTCAACCCTTGCTCTTTGTCGGTACCACCAACACAGCCAGGACCATTGAACAAGACTAAGTAAGGGTCCTTCCAACGACCTCTTTGGAAGCCGTTCTAGAAGATGTCGAAGATGCGTTTTGTGACCACTGAAATCAGAAGCAGTGGTGAGGATTGATACTCCGCTCGGACGTGGTCGATGAAACGCTCCTCGTGCGGCTCAGCCTCCTGATGCGCACCCAGCCGGCATCCGAAGCCGTGCAGCGTGCTATTCCTGGCCGGCCCCCTCCCCGCTCGGCCGTCGATCGAAGATCAACTGGGGCCATGTCGAACTTTTCTTTCGACTTCTCTCGTGGCGGTATTCATCGATTATCGGGTCAGATACTGGTCTGAGGGTGTGCGGCCGTGCCTCGGCCGGCTTGGAGCTGTAGCGTTCTGTTCTGCTTTTGTGCACCATACAGAGGTCGAGTGACATTGCCAGATTGAGTGACGTGCTTCGAGGCCATCGCTTACAGTTGAGAGCGTCGCACTGAAGGAGTATCAGCTCTGAAACATTCTGACCTCGCGCGCCCTCGCGTCTCCACATCCGGCAGCAAACAGAAAGCCTCGTCATGGTGCATGTCCCCAAACGCGACGAGCGAATGCACTTGAGATGAAGGCATCGTTTGCTATGACGAGCTGGCGGCTGCCAAGTCACATAAACCACATGCTGTCTGAAGGGGATGGCAATACCCCAACATGAGCTGAACGTGAGGCAGGCTGTGTCCGTCGGTATCACCACGTGTTGGACGCTGACCAGCGTGTTTCCTTGAAGTGGCAATGGTCTATTGTTCGCCGGTTTGTAACTCAAATTCTCAACCTCGAGTTGAGATGGGTATCATGCAAAAGTCGCATCCCTATCGACCGCAACAGTGTGGCAGCCCTGAACCTTGTACCAGAAGTTGCTTCCCGTCTGTCTTTGAAGAAGGAAACACTCGGAACATAGGCGAGGCCTTGCACAGCGATCCGTCCGTCCGTGCCCAGCCCCCTGGCCCTCACTTGAAGATACGCTTGCCGCCGGTCCGCACGGGAAACCGCTCGACACCGTCGCTCTGCTGCTCGTGCCACAGCCCCTGCGTGCCCACCCACCCGCTCTCGCCCGACATTTTGTACTGCCTCCATGCCTCGCGCAGGTGCTCCGGGCGCAGGGGGCCGCGCTTGTCCTTCTCGCTGAGGCGGTTGATGTCGCCGCGCACGGTGGGATCTGTGTTTTGCGGGGGGAACTCGACCTCTGACTGTTTCTCGCCGGTCGCGTTCATCCACTCCCCCTGCACACTGATGGCCTTCTCGATGAGTTCGCCGATGAAGTATTTCGACACGGATTTGATAGCAAGCGTGACGGTAGGCGGCACCGATTGCGAGACGGTGGCGTTGACGACCTGTACGATCGGTGATGGACCACGTCAGCAAGCGTCGCTCACGTATGAGTAAGAAACCAAGAAAGAAAGAGGGAAAACACACCCTCTTGACGACGTTGTCGGTCAGTTTGGCCGCGCGCCAATTCTCATAACGGTTCATCTGGTCCTCGTCGAAGCACTCGACAAGCATGGCGCGCAGCCTGATTTCCTCCTGCTTCTGCTCCTGCGTCCTCGTCTCGCCACCCACGAGCCCCATCTGCATGTCGTTATCATCATCGTCATCGTTGCCGTCATCGCCATTCTGCCCATCGGCACCGCCGCCAGCCGTCCCCCCACGTCCGCTGACGAGCGAGGGCGTGGGCGTGCCCGCGTCGGGGGCGCCTTCGGGGTTGCGGTTTTTGGGCTTGCGGCCGCGCTTCTTCTTCGGGGGTCCTGCTGGCGCGCTGACTTGGCTGCCGCTGACGTGACTGGCTGTGTCGACCGAGGGGGAGCGCGCGAGAGGTGATCGCGCCTCGGGCGGGAAGGAGGTCTGGCGGAGGGGGTGGGTCGCCGAGGAGACGGAAAGAGTCGAGGCCTTGCGCCGCTTGAGAGAGGGTTGGGAGCCGCCGTCGGAGGCGCGCTTCTTCGAGACGGGCAGTGGCGTGTGGGCGGGATAGGGAGGGGAGATGGCCGTGGGCGACTGGCGTAGGGGGGCGAAGCCATGCTGGCGGCTGCGCGCGGTGTGTTTGTGGCTGTCTCGGAGTGATGATCGATACGATTTGACGATGAAGGCGAGGTATAGATGGGGGGCCAGTTTCAGAGACCAAGCGTTCGAGATGGATGTGGGATGTCGAGCTACATCCGTCGTAGCTGCTGTTTGCTGCTTGTTGCTGCGAGGCTGAGAGTTCTGACAAGGGAGGCTGA